CCCCAAAACCCCAAAACCCCAAAACCCCAAAACCCCAAAACCCCTTTCTTGAGGGAAGAAATAGAACAATAATATTAAAACAAATGGAAAGAGTATCAGTGGTAGAGTATACAAGTGGAATAGTCCCAGGCACTGACATGCAGAAAGTAAGCTTCTCCAGTACCACCTAGCCTTAAAAATCCCAAACGTAAAAGAAAATTTATCCTTAAGGAAGAAATCTAAAATTGGCAGAAAAGTTAGGGATTTTAAGGGGTTTTGTGCGAGAAAAGGACTTTTTGGGATATTGGTGGGAGGGGGAGGGGAGGGGGGTTAGGAAGTGGAGGATGAGGTGTGGTGGAGGATGAGGGGTAGGGTTTTTGAAAGAGAAGAGGGGTTGGGTGGGGGATTGGGAGATAAAGTTAACCTAAGAGTTTCATCTTGAGTTTATAGGAATATCAAGCTAACAAGACTAAGGTTTACTCATACATCAGTGGAAGAGATGACCGAAGTGAGAGCTCCTTTAGCGGTATAAGTAATTCAGGAATCATGAATATCAAGGAAATACAGCGAAAATAGACTCACTAAGGGCAGAATAATATCAGTTCTTAATTTTATATCATATGTGATAGAGGTTATATTTATGGTATTCTTGCTGCTTGACCAATTCTTTGAGTCTGATACACCTCTCTCTCTTGAGCCAAGGTACATCCGAGTGATCTGGATTATTATCCTGTGTCTCCAAGGTGCCTTCACACTATCTCCTTTGATTTTCAATGCTGGAGATTTCTATGAAATACTCACCGATAAGATTTGGATTAACTTTGCTCTTGTCTGAATATCGATCACACTTTCGTCTGTGATCCCCACTGTGGACACCCACATTGGAATCACAATTATGAGTCCGGTGTTGTTCGTCCTGATGAAGATCTACTCTCACTACTTCATTTACCATCAGATCAAGTACCATGATGAAGGGAACGCATTTGTGAGCAGGCTGGAGTTCTTCACTCTTCATGTGACTTTCTCGATGATCGAAGCTTGGATCACATACCTAATGCTGTTCTCGGCATTTCAGGTTCTGGTGCAGTACCTTAACTCCAGGGGCGAAATCGAAGAAGCAGAAAAGAACGAGTACATCCAGTCGCTTGGAGTGCTCGCCATGGTCGTCATTCTGTGAGAAATGGCCTACAACCTGGCTTACTACAAAGATGTCATATTCTCGATATTCTGTTTCGGGATTTTTGTGGGTATCTGGTTTAGAAACAGGTTTGGACGGGCTGGAGACAGAACAGCAATGGCTCAGAAGAGCAGTCTGGGCTGAGCTATCATTTCTCTGATATTCACAATCATCACGACCATTCACAGTTCGAAGAGTGCATTCTACCTCAAGTATTTTGCCATCAACAGGAAACTCAAGAACATCGAAGATGCGATGATCCAGAATGACCAAGAGATCGAGCATCGGAACCAGTACTAACTGGGCGGCTGGACTTGGAGCCAGCTCAGTAGGCCAGACTTGGTCGGGCTTAATCGAGTTGTTCAATTTTAAAATATAGAAATGGGGTTTTGGGGTTTTGGGGTTTTGGGGTTTTGGGGTTTTGGGG